TGCATCGGCGACGTCCGCGTGCAGCAAATCGGGCTCCACATCGAGCCGCATCGCCGACGCATCGGCGATGCGGCGCGATCCTCCGACCCCATCTACTCCGACCCCATCTGGGAGGCCTAGATCCCCTCCCCTTCCCACGACCAGGCACGGCGATCCAGCGAGAACAGCACGAGCTCTCCGCAGGCTCGACGCGCCCCTGTGCTCCTCGTGTGCCTCGTCCTCCTGCGCCTGCTGCGGCTCCACGTCCTCCTCGTCCTCCTCCTCGTCCTCCAGCGGCCGCACATCCGGCCCGCCGGGCGCACGACCAGGGGGCCACATGCGAACACTGCCCCTGCCCCCCACGATTTCTAAGGGGGAGGGTGGGGTTCACTTCGCTCGGGAGCTCCCGAACGAAGTAAACCCCACCCTCCCCCTCACGACGTGCAGGGGAGACGAAGCGTCCACCGCGCACTTGCTGGACCCCGGCCGGGCAGACAGGCGGCCGCCAGGGTGCGCCGAGGGGGCTCTGCCTCCCAGAAAGGGGCCCCCAACAGGGCCCCCCGGCGGAGCTGCGGAGGAGCCCCCTCCACGGGCCCTCCACCGCTCCTCCCCTCCTCCTCAACGGGCCAGCGTGTGAGCCCCATTAGGGCAGAACGTGTTCCTCCGGCACGTCCACCGCCTCCCCCACCTCCGCCAGCTCACCTCCTCGCCAAGATGACCCCCAGGAAAAATGGTGCGAGATGGTCGATGGCTGCTCAGATGGTATGGAGGCCCCAAGCATAAAAAGCTGCTGAACAATCCATGCTTCTCGTCTTTTCGCCCGATCGGCTTCCATACGCTTTAGAAGCATCAAATCGGATCCAAGATGATCCGCGAGGGCCCGAAGAGCACCCACAAGAGTTCCAAGCGGGCCTCAACTGCCCCAAGAGCACCCGCAAGGGTCCTAAGATTACCCAAACCGCTGAACAGCTTGGAGCCCTTTTGCATCAACAGACCGAGGGACCGCCCAGCAGCGACATCTCGAAAAATGAGCTGATCTGGGCCGCCGCACCTTTAGGCTTCGACATGCAGCGAGAGGTGGTCGAGCCCGTTTCGCCTGAGACAACCTCGCAACTCTGAGCTCCGAGATGCCGCGCGAGAGGTGGTCCAGCGCGTCTCGCCTGAGACATCCTCGAAACTCCGGCCTCCGAGATACTGCTCGCCAGGTGGTCCTGTGCATTTCTCCTCGTATATCCTCGCAACTCTGGGCTCCGAGATGTCACGCGCGAAAGGTGGCCCACGGCGTTTCGCCTGAGACATCCTCGCATCTGTGGGCTTCGACATGCCGCGCGCGCGCGAGGTTGTCCTGCGCTCTTCGCCTGAAACATCCTGGACTCCGAGATGCACCGCGCGAAATGGTCCAGCCCGCTTCGCCTGAGACATCCTCGCCACTTGTTGGCTTTGAGATGCCGCTCGACAGTTGGTCCAGCCCCTTTCGCCCGAGACATCATCGCAACTCTGGGCTCCGATGCCACGCGCGAGGTGATCCAGCCCGTTCCGCCTGAGACATCATCACGATTCTGGTCTCCGAGATGCCGCGCGCGAGGTGGTCCAGCCCGTCTCGCTTGAGACATCCTTGAAACTCTGGTATCCGAAATACAGCGCGCGAGGTGGTCCAGCGCGTTTCGCATGAGACATCCTCGCACCTCTGGGCATCGAGATGCCGCGCGCGTGGTCCAGCCCGTTCCGCCTGAGACATCCTCGCACCTCTGGGCTCCGAGATGCCGCGCGAGAGGTGGTCTGGCCCGTTTTGCCTGAGACGTTATCGCATCCCTAGGCTTCGGCATGCAACGCGTGAGGTGGTCCAGCCCGTTTCGCCAAAAACATACTCGCAGCTCTGGGCTTCGAGATGCCGCGCGAGAGATGGTCCGGCGCGTATCGCCTGAGACATCATCGGAGGAGATGTGCGAGAGGTGGTCTGGCCCGTTTCGCCTGAAACCTCCTCGCAATGTGGGACTCCGAGATGCTGCGCGCGGGATGGTCGAGCCCGTTTCGCCTGAGAGATCCTCGAAATCCTGGGCTCCGAAAGGGAGGGAGGAGAGAGGAGAGAGGGTTCAGACCCACAAGAATCATTTGATTAAACCTCTGTTGTCATCGGAGCGGTCTGGGCGCCGCCTGAAACGTTTTTGCAACTCTGGGCCCCGAGATGCCGAGCGCGAGGTGGTCCAGCCCGTCTCGCTTGAGACATCCTCGAAACTCTGGTATCCGAAATACCGCGCGCGAGGTGGTCCAGCGCGTTTCACATGAGACTTGTTTTGCAATTCTGGGCTCCGAGATGTCGCGCGCGAGGTGGTCCAGCGCGTTCCGCATGAGACGTCCTCGCAACGCTGGGCAGCGAGATGCCCCGCGCGAGGTGCCCAGCGCTTTTCGCCCGATACCCGAGATACCGCGTGCGAGGTGGTTCGGCGCCTTTCCCCCGAGACATCCTTGCAACTGTCGGCTCCGAGATGCCGAACGAGAGGTGGTCCGACCCGTTTCGTCCGAGGACATGCTTGCAACTACGGGCTCCAGGATTCAGCACACAAGATGGCCTGGCCCGTTGCGCCTGAGGCATCTTCGCAATTCTGAGCTCTGCGAAGATGTGCGCAAGGTGGTCTGATCCCCTTCGACTGAGACGTCCTCGCTGTTCGGGGCTCCTAGATGCCGCGTGCAGGTTGGTCCAGCCCGTGTTTCGCCTGAGACATCATCAAAACGCTCGGCTTCGAGAGGGAGGAAAGAGTGAAGGGGCCCTGGGACACACAAATAAATGCACACAAATAAAACTATTCCCCATATTTTCCCATATTTGTTTGATGTTCGTCTTCCCCCCCACTTCCCATATTTTCCCATATTTTCTGGGGAATCGACGATTAATTGTGTCTGTGTGTTTCTCTCCCTCCTGAAAAAGGAGGGAAGGGGTCAAATCCGAACGAACCACTTGATTACACTGCTGCTGTCGCGTTATGCTCCGAGAGGGGTCTGGGCGCCCCCGGCCCGACGGGGGAGGCGGCAAGAGCGCCGAGGCGCGAGCACGGCACCCTCGTCACTTGCAGGGGCGTCGCAGGGGGGATTTCCAAAATGGGGCAGACTGGGGAGATGTCTCCAGCGAGAGCCGGCGAGTCGGGAGGGGGCAGGCTGGGAGATGAGAAAGTGAGGAAGGCAGGGGAAGAGTGGAGGAGACAGACGGGGGCAAACCCAAACACGGCATCGAAGCGGAGGAGGCGGAGGAAGCGGAGAAGAAGAGGAGGGACGAAGAATAAGAGAAGGACGGGGAGGACGAGGAGGAGAGGAAGACGGAGGAGCAATGCGATGACGAGGAGGAGGAGAGGGAGGAGGAGAACGAACACTGCTAGGAGAAGGAGATGTATCACTGCGAAAATGAGGCGGGCGAGAAGCACAAGAGAAAGAAGAGGAGCAAAAGGAGGAAACGGAAAAGAAGTGCCTTGAGGAGGTCGAGGATGAGGAGGATGGGGGAAATGCAAGGGAATAGCACCACGAGGATGAGGAGGATTCACATGAGGAGGGGGAGGGGAAGGAATGAGATGACGTGGTATAAGAGGAGGAGGAGGAGGAGGAGGAGGAGGAGGACGAGGAAGAGGAAGGGGGAGGAGGAGAAGGATGAGGAGGAGGCGGAGGAGGAGGAAAAGGAGGAGGATGTGTCCCGTAACATCACCGCCAAACGAACTTAATACATCCTCTGGCTTGTGTCCGTCTTCAGAGGAGAGCTGAAAGCGTATGAGACGTGACAAAAGATACACCTTATATATATAATGAGAAGGATCAGGATGAGGAGGATGGCAAGGAGAAGCGGGAGGAGGTGAGGAGGAGGAGTGGCCAGGGCGAGAAGCAGAATGGCGTGGCCTCGGAGGACGAGGAGGAGAACGACGATGACGAAGGGGATGAGAAGCTCGACGACGACGTCGAAGGCGCAGGCCGACCAGGAGCAGGTGGACGCGCGAATACTCTTGGGAGTCACCTCGGCTTCAGAAGCGATGCTTGGGGGTACTGGACTCTGGCTACACTCTGTTGTCCGACCCCACCAGGAGGGTCACAGTTTAGGACGCCCCCCTTTAGCATATTGCCTCCAGGATGGCCCCAAGGAGCGCCCGAGGTGCTCCCACACAATGCTCAGCAGCACGAGCGCCCGAAAGGCTCCCAAAAGGATCGCAAGAGAGTCCCAGAATGGAAGGGCTTCCAAAAAGACCCAAGTGAGACCCACAATAGCTCCAAAATGCCTCCCAGCACCTCCAGGGGGGCCAGGAAGATAGATGGGCGTGGTCGGGACGGAAATCACCAGCTCCCTTCTCCTCCAGCATCCCCATGTGAGAAGTGCATGGCACTTGGCGATGGCGGCGACGCTCGACACAAGCGAGGGCCCATGCGCCAATGTTCTTCAAAGGTCGGCTGGCGGGAAGCCCGGATCATACGAATTGAAATCTAGCCAAAACTGGCTACACATGTATGACTCCATCCCTTTAGGCCTCCGCTGTTGGCAAAAAACAACTCGCACGGACTTCCGCCAGCTTCGAGGCGAGAGCCGTTCCCATGCCTTAGAGATGTCTAACAGCCAGCATCTATTTGCGCACCGGCTCAGGATCAGGTGCTTCAAATGCCTCAGGTGCTTCAAATGCCTCTGTGAAGAGACTGGCCAACCACGTTCAGCTCAGGCAGGAGAGCGCGGGGATGATTCAAACTTGCACGAAGGGCACTGCTGCTGAGCCGGCGCCAAGCCTGCTCTATGAGTGCCCTTAACATGCAACATTAGGCTGCGAGCGGATCCCAAGTGGAAGCCATCTGCTTCAGCGAACGAGCCAGGACCTGCCAGGGCAATCTCCACCTCCTCTCTTACCAAGCCCCTCGTAAAATTCTCCTCACCTCATTCCGCCTCCTCCTACCGGACAACCCTCCACCCATCACCTACCCCAACACTCGAAAAAGAAAATCGATGAGAGATCGAAAGTGATTACGAGATACTCGATAGGCCCCAAAGGGTATAAAAGATCGGCTAGGGACAAAAAGGAGAACTGTATGAGCAACCCTTCTTGCGTCGGAATTTCCTCGTGGGCTCCATGAAGCGACAAGCCTTGTAGAAGCGATGTTTAAAGTAAGCATCTGGGACACTGGATTAGCTTGAGTGGGGACGGCCTGGTAACAAAAGTGGGTGAGGGGGGGAGATTACGTGAACGCTACTGCTTGCGCACAACACTGCACTTTGCGAGTTCATTGATCGAAAACATAAACGAGGTACCGAGCGGTTGCACCTTCACGCTGCGTGAATTCAAACCAGGCATGCGTTTGGCTCGGCCTCTTCCTTCCTCTGGCATTTCCGACAATTAGAATTTCGGTTGCCCCGAATAGCCACACGCCGGAGCGGACTGCCCCTGCCTCGCCGCAGACGAAAAAGTGTTTGGCTCGGTTCCGCGCGTGCGACCTGCAAGAGCTGCAAGCTGTTACGAATTGGCTTGACAAAGAGCCCAACCATATACGTACAGCTGTGAGTACCGCAACTGCGAATACCGTCTTAAGTGGAACTCCCTATGAGGCACCGCCCGCATGCGGGCTGTGCCGCTGGGGCCTTCGGTGGAGCTCCCTGTGGAGCTACAAAACGTGTGATGTGTGCCGACACGTGGGTGTCGCTTAAATGTAGGCTGCGCCATTGAGACCAAAGGTGGAGCTCCACTGGGGCCTCACGTGGAACTCCTTTAGGTGCCACGAAACGTGTGATGGGTGTGCCGGAACACGGGTGATATCGCCCACGTGCGGGCGGCGCCACTGGGGCCTTCGGTGGAGCTCCCCTATGGGGCCACGTGCCGAAACGGGGTGGGGTGGCGCCCACATGCGGACGGCGCCACTGGGACCGTATGTGGAGTCCCCCTATGGGGCCACGAAACGTGTGAGGGGAGTGCCGAAACGGGGCGGCGCAAGCACGGTGCCGATCACATACCGGAACGAGGAAAGAATTAGCACGGCGACTGTCAGAAAGTCTGCATCTATGTGTGTCAGAATGAGGGGGCCGAACGGTCATTCATTGCCCCTGGGTGCGTGGCTGACATGGGGATCCGTGGTGAGCATTCTGCTTGTTGCGTTGTTGTTGTTGTTGTTGCTGATGTTGCTCTTGCTGTTATTGGTGTTGTTAGTGGTGTGTTCTTGCTGCTGCTGTTGTTGTTGGTGTTGTTGTCCTTGGTGTTGTTGATGTTGCTGCTGTTGTTGCTGCTGTTGTTGTTGTTGATGGTGTTGTTGTTGGTGGTGGTGTTGTTGTTGCTGTTGTTGTTGCTGATGTGTTGCTGTTGTTGTTGCTGTTGTGGTGTTGTTGTTGTGGTTGGTGGTGTTGGTGTTGCTGATATTGTTGTTATTGGTGTTGTTGTTGGTGGTGTTGTTGGTGTTGTTGTTGCTGCTGCGGTTGCTGCTGCTGCTGTTGTTGTTGTTGGTGTTGGTGTTGTTGTTGTTGCTGTTGTTGTTGCTGTTGTTGTTGCTGCTGCTGTTGTTGTTAGTGTTGTTGTGTTGGTGGTGTTGTTGGTGATGTTGTTGTTGTTGGTGTTGTTGTTGGTGGTGGTGGTGTTTTTGTTGTTGGTGGTGTTGTTGTTGTTGCTGTTGCTGCTGTTGTTGTTGGTGTTGTTGTTGCTGTTGTTGTTGGTGGTGTTGTTGTTGGTGGTGTTGATGTTCATGTTGTTGATGTTGGTGTTGTTGTTAGTGTTGTTGTTGGTGTTGTTGTTGTTGGTGGTGTTGTTGTTGCTGTTGTTGTTGCTGTTGCTGTTGTTGTTGTTGTTGCTGTTGCTGTTGTTGGTGTTGTTGTTGTTGTTGTTGTTGTTGGTGTTGTTGTTGTTGTTGGTGTTGGTGTTGGTGTTGTTGTTGTTGTTGTTGTTGTTGTTATTGTTGTTGTTGTTGTTGTTGTTGGTGTTGTTGTTGTTGTTGTTGTTGTTTGTTGTTGTCGTCGTCCCACCCGCGACCCACCCGCGACCCACCCCACGACCCACCCCGCGACCCACCCCGCGACCCACCCCGCGACCCACCCCGCGACCCACCTCACGACCCACCTGCGACCCAACCCGCGACCCACCCGCGACCCACCCCACGACCCACCCGCGACCCAACCGCGATCCACCCACGACCCACCCCGTGACCCACCCGCGACCCACCTGCGACCCTCCGCGACCCACCCGCGACCACCCGCGATCCACTTACCCACCCGCGACCCACCCGCGACCCACTTGCAACTCCCACCCGCGGCCCACCCGCGACCCACCCGCGACCCACCCGCGACCTACCCACATTGGTTTAACGAAAACAGCGGCGCCTGCGGCGGGCTCGTTGTTTAATGTGTGAAACTTTGGCGCCTGCGGCGGGCTTCTCCAGAGACTCGCAAACTGCCGACGTCCCCACCGCCCCCTCACTCTTATCCGCATGTGCGGGGTGAGGACGTATGTGTGTGTGTGTACGCGTATACGCATACCTGGTTATCTTATGCGTGCATACTGTATACACGTACATGTACATACATATAAACATAAATACAACCATACATACATACATACATACATACATACAGACAGACAGACAGACAGACAGGCAGGCAGACAGACAGACAGACAGACAGACAGACAGACAGACAGACAGACATGCATGCATGCATGCATGCATGCAGACAGACAGACAGACAGACAGACAGACATGCATACATACATGCATGCATGCATGCATGCACATACACATACACATACACATACACATGCATATGAAAAAAACAGCTGCACACATGTAGCGCATAGGGGTGCCCAATAAGGCCCCTTAGCAACAAGTACCCCATCGGGGCGGGCGAAAGGTGGGAGAAGACTGGACAGCAAGGGGGGGAGCGAATCAGCTCCCTGCAGCCAATCTTTAAAGGTCAATGAAGGCAAATCGGGCCGGGAGGTAAACTGGTGATTCGGCTGGACTAGTCCGTATGATCCACGGATCTACCAGCGACGATGCTGAATCCCACCAGCCCTCTGGGCGCAGGTGGTCCAACGAGTTTTTCCTCTCCTCTTCCAGAACCCCTTGTCCCTTCGCGGAGTGGTGCCCTCCCCCTTCCCTCTCTGAGGGCTCCCCCTTCCCCTCCCTGAGGGTTTGGGGGGGGAGCGCGAGCGGGCAGGGCGCCCAAGATGACCCAAGATGGCCTCCAAGGCGGCTTATGATAGCCGAAGATGGTTCAAGATAGCTTCCGACGTACCTCCAAGAGGCCCGACGAGGGCCACAAGATGGTTGCATGTGTTCTCGGAGCCCCCTATGGACCACCCCATGAAGCCAAAACCCTTCAAAAACCTATGAACAAACTATGAATTGTGCCCTCCCGCCTTGTGGCTTCCGTTGCGCTGAAGCCTCAAGATGGGACCAAGATGACCGAAGAGAGCCCCAAGAGGGGCCCAAGAGGTCTCCAAGACGGCTCCAAGAGTCCAAGATGGGCCCAAGAGCGCCCCGAGAGTGCCCCAGAGGCGATTTCGAGGGACTCAGAGGGGGGAGCAACTCGAGGATCCCCCCTCCTCTGATCGACGCCCTATAAGATGGCCCAAGAGGCCTTACAGGGCCTCCAAGAGGGCCCCAAGAAGAGAGCCCCAAGAGGGCCCCAAGAGAGCCCCAAGACACTTCAAAAGAGCGCTATGACCCCAGGACCTTCCAAACGAGCCACAAGAGGGCACACGAGGACCCAAAGCATACCCCAAGTGGACCCCAAGAGTGCCCCAAGAGAACCCCAAGATGGCTCAAAAAGTTCTTGACTTAGGTCGGGCCTGTCCCCGTTACAGGGGGATTTTGGACGAAAAGAAAAATATTCACAAAATATTCAAATGATGCCCAAAAATACTCAAAACATATTCCCCCGATTATTTTTGACTATTTCTTAGTTTTTCCCCTGTAGAGGGACAGGCCCGACTTAATTATTGACCTCATTATCCGCCTCATCCTCCTCCTTCTTCTCCTCCTCCTCCTCCTCCTCCTCCCCCTCCTCTTCGTCTTCCTCATCCTCGCCCTCGTTTTCCTCATCGTCCTCGTCCTCGTCATATCCTCCTCCTCCCCCTCCTCCTCCTCCCTCCTCCTGCTCCTCCTGCTCCTCCTCCTCCTCCTCCTCCTCCTCCTCCTCCTCCTCCTCCTCCTCCTCCTCCTCCTCCTCCTCCTCAGCATCATCAGCATCCTCAGTTCACCATGGTTGCCCGCTTTCATTCACTACATGTGCCTCTTCCTCCCATTTCCCGTCAGCTCGCACGGGCAACGTTCCCGAATGGGCCAGTGGGGATACTTTTTGGTACGCGGGCGCGCGAAACGGAACGCTGGGCTAGCAGGGGCAGGCTATGCCACCAACTGCGGGCCAGTGGGGATACTTTTTGGTCGCGGCCGCAGGCGAGAGCGCAAGCGGCGAGTCGTAAGTCCGGGGCGCGGGCCTACTAATTGACAACAGGAGCAAACTAAAGCCGCGCACCTAACTGCCTAAGCTGCCTAAGCGGCGCCTCAACTGAGCTGCAAGCTGCACTGGGTGTGGAAAGACAGTGGGGATGCGCGAAGCGTGAAGAGTTTGTTTGACCTACCAGGAGTTGCGTCCGGATGCGTCGCCCGCCCCGAATCGGAGCCCACCCATCGGCTCCACGCAGCAGCGACCCCAGGCAAGAGCGGCCTCTGGTGCGCGGCGTTCGGGGGGAACGGGGAGGCCCCAAGCCCGAGCGCGCAGGCCGCTGCCGTCGCATCGCAGTCCGCCATCCGACGGCCACGGCGCGCCCGCACCAAAGGTCACTCCCGCGAGCGATCACTCTCTACCAGCCTCGAACGTATCCCTATCCCTAAGATTGACACGCCAAAAGGCGATGACAATCTTAGGGATGCGCCCTCAAAAAATAAGGGAATCCCTAAGATTGGCATCGTGATGAGGAGGTGCCCAGCATAGGGATAGGGATATGTTCCAGGCTGGTAAACTCTTACGTGTAGCCAAGCTCAGACCGCTCCCCAGCCCGCTCCCCTACGGCAACCTCCGATGGGCACCTCTCCGTGCCCACCGCCGCCAGAAGCGCGCCGGCGGCGGCGCTCGAGCGCGCGCTCGAGCGCCCCATGCGCAAAAGATGCACCGTGCGCCTCGCACGCCAGGCTGGCACCTCCCACCGCCCGGGGAGCTGCCCTCGAGGGCTGCTGGAGGTGCTCCTGGCCCGAAGCGCCTCCTCGGCCTGCCGGGCCTGGGGGTGTGCTGTGGAGGCCAAGGGAAGCGAGGGGCAGCGACAAGGGGGGGGGGACTGGCACAGGGTGGGGAACGTCGGCCTGGCATCGCCGATGCATCGCTGATGCATCGCCGAAAGATCGGCGACGCTAGGCCCCCGATGGCCAATCCCATCAGTCCTCCGGCCGTCGGTGGTTTAGGGTGTTTCCTCTTCCACCCCTCCTTTTTCCCCTTCGGGGGGGGGGTTATCACTGTTCCCTATTAATCAACACCCCCTCCCCCAGGCGACTGGGGGCCAACCAGGGTCCATGACGACACACACACCCCACCATCCCTTGTAAAAAAACATACAAAACGCACTCTGCCTCCAAATTCGGAACATGCGCAGCCAACCCGATGCGGCCCCCCCCCCACCATCCCTGTCAAAAAACAATACAGTACACTTGGCGGCGGCGGCGGCGGCGGCTGCGGCGGCGGCTGCGGCTGCGGCGGCTGCGGCGGCAGCGGCGGCGGCGGCGGCGGCGGCGGCGGCGGCGGCGGCGGCGGTGGCGGTGGCGGCAGCGGCTGCGGCTGCAGCGGCGGTTTGGCAGCGGGGGGCGGCGGCGGCGGCGGTGGCGGCGGCGGCGGCGGCGGCGGCGGAGGCGACGGCGGCGGCGGCGGCGGATTGGCCCCCAGTAGCTGCCCATCCAAAGACGACTGCTGAATATGCTAAGGCTCGGGCCAGGCTCGGGCGCTACGTATGTGTTGGGAGGGCGGGTGGGAGTCAGCGAGACGGCTTGTGGGCGGGGAGGGGGTTTTGATCACTGTTCCCTATTATTCAACACCCCCTCCCCCAGGCGACTGGGGGCCAACCCAGGTCCATGCCAGCACCCCTTGTAAAAATTATCCCGGCAAAGCAACCTAACAGCGATATGTAGAAGCATATCTGAAAGCTCCCCTTAAGATTCAGATGAAAATCCAGTTGTAGAATTCTGCTGTTCTCGCAGTCGTAGTCGCATTCGCGATGACAGTCGCAGCGGCAACGGCAGTCGCAGTCCCAGCCTCAGCCTCAGCCTGCCTCAGCCTCAGCCTCAGCCTGCCTCAGCCTCAGCCTGCCTCAGCCTCAGCCTCAGCCTGCTTCAGCCTCAGCCTCAGTCTGCCTTCAGCCTCGGCCTCAGCCTCAGCCTGCCTCAGCCTCAGCCTGCATCAGCCTCAGCCTCAGCCTCAGCCTGCCTCAGCATCAGCCTGCTTCAGCCTCAGCCTCAGCCTGCCTCAGCCTCAGCCTCAGTCTGCTTCAGCCTCAGCCTCAGTCTGCCTTCAGCCTCGGCCTCAGCCTCAGCCTGCCTCAGCCTCAGCCTGCCTCGGCCGCAGCATCAGCCTGCCTCAGCATTCAAAATGTGGCCCAGGAATGATGTTCTGGGAACTAGAAGAACACGAAGTGGCTTACAGTTGGCTCCGGGCATTCAAAATGTGGCCCGGGAATCGAATTCTGGGAAATCGAAGAGCACGAAGTGGCCTACAGTTGGCTCCGGGCATCCAAAATGTGGCCCGGGAATGGAGTTTGGGAAATCGAAGAGCACGAAGTGGCCTATAGTTGGCTCCGGGCATCCAAAATGTGGCCCGGGAATGGAGTTCTGGGAAGTCGAAGAGCACGAAGTGGCCTACAGTTGGCTCCGGGCATCCAAAATGTGGCCCGGGAATGGAGTTCTGGGAGGTCGAAGAGCACGAAGTGTGTGACTGCTTGCGAAAAACGAATGCGGCGGCAGCCGCGGCGGCAGCCTGTCCGGGCCCCGCCCAGACCCCCATGAGGAGTCATGATGCTCTCTTCTGAAACCATTAGAAACCTATCAGCAAGAGCTGTTAGGTAAAAACCATACAGAACACACTCGGCCTCCAAATTCGGAACATGCGCAGCCAACCCGATGCGGCCCCCCACCCACCATCCCTGTCAGAAAACCCATACAGAGTACACTTGGCGGAGGCGGCGGCTGCGGAGGCTGCGGCGGCGGCTGCGGCGGCGGCGGCGGCGGCGGCTGCGGCGGCGGCGGCGGGGGCGGCGGCGGCGGAGCGGCGGCGGCGGCGCGGGCGGTGGCGCGGCGGCGGCGGCGGTTTGGCAGCGGGGAGCGGCGGCGGCAGCGGCGGCGGCGGCGGCGGCGGCGGTGGCGGCGGCGGATTGGCCCCCAGTAGCTGCCCATGCAAAGACGACTGCTGAATATGCTAAGGCTCGGGCCAGGCTCGGGTGCTACGTATGTGTTGGGAGGGCGGGTGGGAGTGAGCGAGAGGGCTTGCGGGCGGGGAGGGGGTGACTTGACCCCTCCCCCTACCCCCTCCCCATGGACCTGGAGGGGGGGGGGGCGCGAGGTGTCAAAGCGTCCAAAACGGCCTCGGCGAGGAAGCCAAAATCATTGGTTTTACTATGGTTTGGGCCCCATTTTGGCCTCCTGGGGGGCGACGCCAGTTAATACTCCCCTCTTGTTTGATCGATCTCCTTCAAGATGGCCCCAAGAAGCGCCCAGGAGGCCCCAAGAGGTCCCAAGATGGCTCCAAGATGGCCCCAAGAGGCCCCCAAGAGGCCCCCAGGAGGCCCCAAGAGACCCCCAAGAGGCCCCCCTGAGGCACCCAAGATGCTCCCCCCTGAGGCACACAAGATGCTCCAAGAGGCCTCGGCGAAGATGCCAAAACGGCCTCGGCGAGGAAGCCAAAATCATTGGTTTTACGAGGGTGTTGGCCCCATGTTGGCCTCCTGGGAGGGGGGGGCGTTAATTAATGCTCCCCTCTTGTTTGATCGATCTCCTTCAAGATGGCCCCAAGAAGCGCCAAGGAGGTCCCGAAAGGTTCCAGGATGGCTCCAAGATCGCCCCAAGAGGCCCCCAAGAAGCCCCCAGGAGGCCCCCAAGAGACCCCCAAGAGGCCCCAAGAGACCCCCCTGAGGCACCCAAGATGCTCCAAGAGGCCTCGGCGAGAATGCCAAAACGGCCTCGGCGAGGAAGCCAAAATCATTGGTTTTACGGGGGTGTTGGCCCCATGTTGGCCTCCTGGGAGGGGGGGGCGTTAATTAATGCTCCCCTCTTGTTTGATCGATCTCCTTCAAGATGGCCCCAAGAAGCGCCAAGGAGGTCCCGAAAGGTTCCAGGATGGCTCCAAGATCGCCCCAAGAGGCCCCCAAGAAGCCCCCAGGAGGCCCCCAAGAGACCCCCAAGAGGCCCCAAGAGACCCCCCTGAGGCACCCAAGATGCTCCAAGAGGCCTCGGCGAGAATGCCAAAACGGCCTCGGCGAGGAAGCCAAAATCATTGGTTTTACCAGGTTTGGGCCCCATTTTGGCCTCCTGGGGGGCGACGCCAATTAATATTCCCCTCTTGTTTGATCGATCTCCTCCAAGATGGCCCCAAGAAGCGCCCAGGAGGCCCCAAGAGGTCCCAAGATGGCCCCAAGAGGCCCCCAAGAGGCCCCCAGGAGGCCTCCAAGAGACCCCCAAGAGGCCCCAAGAGACCCCCCCAGAGGCACACAAGATGCTCCAAGAGGCCTCGGCGAGAATGCCAATTCATTGATTTCACTAAGGTGTTAGCCACATGTTGGCCTCTTGGGGGGGAGCACTGATTAAGATGACTCCAAGAGCGCCTGGGAGAGCCCAAGATGACCTCCAAGATGGCTCCAGATATCCCAAGATGTCTCATAATGGCTTCCTCTGTGTGCTGCCCACTTCCCTGATCCAGGCAATTCCTCTGGGCATCGTTTCTGGATGGGCTGGTGGGGATTCCCGAAGCGTCAACAATTTTCACGTTCTTGGGCGGGGTGGGGGACTATCGGGCCCCCTCTCGACAAGGGAGGGGCGATTGGGGGGTCGATGCATCCCCCCCCCCCTTCGCCGATCCCCCCCCCATCGCTGCCTCCGAGGAGAGGGGAGCCTCCCTGGGGCGCCTGGGCACACACACCTGGCCAGGGGCACCGCTGCCCTGACCTTCCAGGAGGGCTACAAAATAGCACCCGACTTAAAAACCTATCCCAGAGCAATTCTACGATCTTGGTTTTAGGCTGTTTCGCTCAGCCTTTTGGGTTGTTAGGCCTCCCGTGCTAAAATTATCCCGGCAAAGCAACCTAACAGCGATGTGTAGGAGCATATCTGGAAGCATTCCCCTTAAGATTCAGATGAGAATCCAGTTGTAGAATTGTGCTGTTCTCGCAGTCGTAGTCGCATTCGCGATGACAGTCGCAGTGGCAACGGCAGTCACAGACACAGCCTCAGCCTCAGCCTGCCTCAGCCTCAGCCTCAGCCTGCCTCAGCCTCAGCCTGCCTCAGCCTCAGCCTCAGCCTGCTTCAGCCTCAGCCTCAGTCTGCCTTCAGCCTCGTCAGCCTCAGGCCTGCCTCAGCCTCAGCCTGCATCAGCCTCAGCCTCAGCCTCAGCCTGCCTCAGCATCAGCCTGCCTCAGCCTCAGCCTCAGCCTGCCTGCCTCAGCATTGGCCTACAGGGCCCGGGAATGGAGTTCTGGGAACTCGAAGAACACGAAGTGGCCTACAGTTGGCTCCGGGCATTCAAAATCATGCCCAGGAATGGAGTTCTGGGAACTCGAAGACCACGAAGTGGCCTACAGTTGGCTCCGGGCATCCAAAATGTGGCCCGGGAATGGAGTTCTGGGAACTCGAAGACCACGAAGTGGCCTACAGTTGGCTCCGGGCATCCAAAATGTGGCCCGGGAATGGAGTTCTGGGAACTCGAAGACCACGAAGTGGCCTACAGTTGGCTCCGGGCATTCAAAATGTGGCCCGGGAATGGAGTTCTGGGAGGTCAAGGAGCACCAAGTGTGTGACTGTTGCATCCGGTTATTCAGAATGTGGCCTGGGAATGGGGTTCTGAGAGGTCGACGAGCACGAAGTGTGTGACTGTTGGTGAAAAACGAGCCCGGCACAGGCCCGGCCGGCAACTCCCAACGCCTGCCCGGACCCCCCTGTGGAGTGATCTGTGAGCTCTTTTGAGTCAACTAGAAACCTATCAGTCTTCGCTGTTAGGTAAATTATCCCGGCAAAGCAACCTAACAGCGATGTGTAGGAGCATATCTGGAAGCATTCCCCTTAAGATTCAGATGAGAATCCAGTTGTAGAATTCTGCTGTTCTCGCAGTCGTAGTCGCATTCGCGATGACAGTCGCAGTGGCAACGGCAGTCGCAGTCACAGCCTCAGCCTCAGCCTGCCTCAGCCTCAGCCTCAGCCTGCCTCAGCCTCAGCCTCAGCCTGCTTCAGCCTCAGCTCAGTCTGCCTTCAGCCTCGGCCTCAGCCTCAGCCTGCCTCAGCCTCAGCCTGCATCAGCCTCAGCCTCAGCCTCAGCCTGCCTCAGCATCAGCCTGCCTCAGCCTCAGCCTCAGCCTGCCTCAGCCTCAGCCTCAGCCTGCTTCAGCCTCAGCCTCAGTCTGCCTTCAGCCTCGGCCTCAGCCTCAGCCTGCCTCAGCCTCAGCCTGCATCAGCCTCAGCCTCAGCCTCAGCCTGCCTCAGCATCAGCCTGCCTCAGCCTCAGCCTCAGCCTGCCTCAGCCTCAGCCTCAGCCTGCTTCAGCCTCAGCCTCAGTCTGCCTTCAGCCTCGGCCTCCGCCTCAGCCTGCCTCAGCCTCAGCCTGCATCAGCCTCAGCCTCAGCCTCAGCCTCAGCCTCAGCCTGCCTCAGCATCAGCCTGCCTGCCTCAGCCTCAGCCTCAGCCTCAGCCTCAGCCTCAGCCTCAGCCTGCTTCAGCCAAAGCCTCAGTCTGCCTTCAGCCTTGGCCTCAGCCTCAGCCTGCCTCAGCCTCAGCCTGCATCAGCCTCAGCCTCAGCCTCAGCCTCAGCCTCAGCCTCAGCCTCAGCCTGCCTCAGCCTCAGCCTGCTTCAGCCTCAGCCTCAGCCTGCAGCTCAGCCTCAGCCTCAGCCTCAGCCTGCCTGCTTCAGCCTCAGCCTCAGTCTGCCTTCAGCCTCGGCCTCAGCCTCAGCCTGCCTCAGCCTCAGCCTGCCTCAGCCTGCCTCAGCCTCAGCCTCAGCCTGCCTCAGCATTCAAAATGTGGCCCGGGAATGGAGTTCTGGGAACTCGAAGAGCACGAAGTGGCCTACAGTTGGCTCCGGGCATCCAAAATGTGGCCCGGGAATGGAGTTCTGGGAACTCGAAGACCACGAAGTGGCCTACAGTTGGCTCCGGGCATCCAAAATGTGGCCCGGGAATGGAGTTCTGGGAAATCGAAGAGCACGAAGTGGCCTACAGTTGGCTCCGGGCATTCAAAATGTGGCCCGGGAATGGAGTTCTGGGAAGTCGAAGAGCACGAAGTGTGTGACTGTTGCATCCGGTTATTCAGAATGTGGCCTGGGAATGGGGTTCTGAGAGGTCGACGAGCACGAAGTGTGTGACTGTTGGTGAAAAACGAGCCCGGCACAGGCCCGGCCGGCAACTCCCAACGCCTGCCCGGACCCCCCTGTGGAGTGATCTGTGAGCTCTTTTGAGTCAACTAGAAACCTATCAGTCTACGCTGTTAGGTAAATAGCTCTCTGGAAGGTCAGGGTGGCCACGCCCGACGCTCGGAGGCCGCCTGGAGCGACCCCGGCCAGGGGCACCGCTGGCCACGCCCGATGCTCGGAGGCCGCCCGCAGCGACCCCGCCGCCGCACGGGGCCGGAGGGCCGCACCGCACCGCCCCGCGCCTCAGCGCGTCGGCGCTGCGGCGCGCGAGCGGCCCCTCGGCCCCCGGCGGCTCGGGCCCCCGTTCTGGGCGGCCGGGGCCGCCGGAGGCCCTCTGGAAGGGGCCGGAGCGACCGAGGTCCCCCGGAGAGCCCAGACCCCCTGGAGTCACGAGGGAAAAGATTGCGGCGCGCAGGTCTGCAAAGCAGGCAAGCTGCGGTTTACCCGCCCATCTGGTCGCTGCCTCCTCCTCCTCCTCCTCGTCCTCCTCCTCCTCTTCTCCCCCTCCTCCTCCCCCCACTTCCCCTGGAGCTGGAGCAGGCTCTTGCCGTAGAGGCCGCCGCTCAGCGGGACGGCGGAAGGTTTTTCGCCAGCTCGGCCTCTGGGAGCCCTCACTGGGCCTCGGGACCGTCAAGGATCGACTCAGGACGAAGAACCAGTTCGGGGGGAATGGGTCGAGACCTCTGGGGGTCGACGTTGGTCGGCGGCGCGCACGAGGGGGTAGGTGTAGGGGGGAGGGCTTCTTGGGAGGGGGCCGGCCCTGCATCTACAGACGAGGCCCGCGCCTCTCGGAGAAGCCGGGGTGCTTCCGAGCAGACTTTCCTTGCACAGGCTGCCGAGCGCCCAGGGCGCCAGCAGCGTTACCGAGAAGAAGGCCCCCTCCCCCCTGCCCCCCTCTGCGAGTGGCCGAGGAGCGGCCGAGGCCCGCGAGGGGCCCCCGCGCCCGCGTCGCCGACGCCCCGGCGAAGCGCCGAACTCGGGCACGCACTGGCCCAGGCCGGCCATAGGGCCCCGTCGCGAGGCTCACGGCGGGCCGCTCAGCAGCTCCCGGTCCCGGGCCAGCGGAGGGCGGAGAGGAGCATCGGCCCCGGGTGGCTCCCACACCTGGCCCAGCCAGAGGGGACGGGCTGATCTCTGCCAGCGCTGGCCCCCGTGGGCCCCGACCAACGGGGGCAAGCGCTGGACCGCCGGGGAACCGCGGCGGCGCAGCGCGGCTGTGGGGACGCACCCGCCCTGGCCCCGTCCAGAGTGGCCCCGAGCAGCGGGCTCGCGAGGCTGTGCAGAGGTCGGAGGGCGAGACTGAGCGGTTCCAAGAGAGTGCCCTTGGAGGTGGGGCCCTCAGGACGAGGTGCCTCGAACAATGTACGGTTGGCGTTGGAAAGATCGCGTGCAACATCGATCTCCGAAACGCACGCTGTCCCTGTGAGGCGATCCCTCTGCAAGTGCCCCTCCTCTGCCCTCCATCCCCCTGCCGGGGCATCTTCGGTGCACGCTATTCCCACGGTGGGGGACAGCGTGTAGTAAGCGGGGCCTGCGGCGCCACGCCACACGTGATCTTTCTAACACCAGCCGCAGGTCCAACCTTGGAACCCTTCCGAGCCTGAGGGCCCCCTCCCACATGGCCGGGTCCTGGAACCGCCGAGAGAGGTCGGAGAGATCTGGGCACGTCTCGAAAAAACATCGAGGCGCCGAATTGAACTGGGAGCACGAGGCCGAAAGCAGCCTGCCGTCCTCCACCATGTATGGCACAGCGGATCGCTGGCTCGAAGGAGGAGGGGAGGGAGGGGGGGAGGGCTTGAGTACTCCTGGGGGGTCAGGTCTGCAGAACACCCCAAACGGACGTCAAAGGGCGCAACCAACCTGCTCGGTCAGGCTGACACTCATGCACCACACCCTGCGCCAAGCCAAAACTTTGGGCATTACATATCGAACGGTTGCATGTTGCACACCTCCGCTGGCTTGACCAGCGAGGCGTTTGACAACCTCGACGTTCCTTTTTTGCCGGTCCTGCAGAGTCGGAAGCGGCCAAGAGGGGGGTGTCCAAGAGGGGGGGGTGCAAATCAAGACCAGCGGCATGTGCGCGGCCCAGCGGGGGGGCCTGGGACGTAATGAAATAAGAAGAGGCGCCATGAGATCTGCGGAGATATCATGGCCCGCACCATGATATCCACCCCCCCCTAGTCATCACCCCCCATGTCCGGTTCCAATCCTGGAGCCGTTCTTGTTGCCGTTTCCGGCCGCCGTTTTTTTTGCCGCTTCCATTTTTCAAGGGACATTTTTTTGGCAACGGTGAAAAAACGGCCCTGCCGCTTCCGGGGCCCACTGAGCGCCGGCTTGGCCAGCGAGGCGTTTGACCACCTCGACGTTCCCTTTTGTGCCGCTCCTGCAGAGGGAGGCGCTCCCCTGACCTTCCAGGAGGGCTAAAAAATAACACGCGACCTAAAAACCTATCCCTGAGCTATTCTACGTCTTGGTTTTAGACAGTTTCGCTCAGCTTTTTAGGTTTTTAGGTCTCCAGTGCTAAAAAAAAGCTCTCTGCAAGGTCAGGCTCTCTGACCCTCGGGGCCCTGCCCAGTGCGCTCGCGCCACATCTGGCAGCCCCTCCCCGCCGCAGGCCTGCCGAGCGCGCGCGGAGGAGGAGGAGGGGGAGGAGAAGGAGCGAGGGAGGAGGGGGAGGAGGAGGAGGAGGAGGAGGAGGAGGAGGAGGAGGAGGAGGAGGAGGAGGAGGAGGAGGAGGAGGAGGAGGGGGAGGAGGAGGATGAGGAGGAGGAAGAGGAGGAGGAGAGGGGGGAGGGGGAAGGGGGAGGGGACAAGCTAGGTGCGCTCGCGTCATATCTGACGTCCTACCCCTCCCTCCCATCCCTTACCATGGCGCTGATTTTCTCTATCCGCGGACGCGTGTCGTAGCGGACCTGTGGCTCCGCGCGCGCGTGCGTAGTGGGTGGTGGTGCGCGTGCGTGCGTGCGTGCGTGTGTGCGTGGTTGTGGTGGTGGTGGTGGTGGTGGTGGTGGTGGTGGTGGTGGTGGTGGTGGTGGTGGTGGTGGTGGTGGTGGTGGTGGTGGTGGTGGTGGTGGTGGTGGTGGTGGTGGTGGTGGTGGTGGTGGTGGTGGTGGTGGTGGTGGGGGTGGTGGTGGTGGTGCTGGTGGTGGTGGTGGTGGTGCTGGTGTTGGTGGTGGTGGTGGTGGTGGTGGTGGTGGTGGTTGGTGGTGGTGGTGGTGGTGGTGGTGGTGGTGGTGGTGGTGGTGGTGGTGCGGCGCGGTGGTGGCGGGCGGATGGGCGCGCGAGAAAGAGGCCCGCGCTGGGGCGAGAACGCCATCCTCAACGACGGAGGCCAAACACCGATCCGAAAATGAGGCCCACGCTGCAGCGGGAGCACGATTCGGAACGATTCGGGAGCAGAAATGAGGCCGGCGCCTCAGCGAGAGCAGCATTTTGAAAAAAACGCAGGCGAAAACCCAACTCCCGGAAATCCTGTGTAAAAAACAGTACGCGGGGTGGGGGGTCTACTACTCCCAGGACGCCATCAGGGGAAGAGGGAGAGTAGTATTCATATTGAGTACTTGTGGAGGAGGAGGAGGAGGAGGAGGAGGAGGAGGAGGAGGAGGAGGAGGAGGGGGAGGAGGAGGAGGACTGTGCTCTGTCGCCGAAGCGGGGCCTCGGAGCGGCAGGAGGGGCCTGTGCTCGGCGCGCTTATCGCCACAGCTGGCACCTCGCGGCAGACTCGTGCGGCGTCGGCCTGCGCGGCGTCGGCGCGCGCAGAGGTCTTCGACACCGCGTCGAACGTTCAACGTCGAATCGACCGCGATCCCGATCGTTCGGGGTTGAATTCGGTCGGGCCCGGTGGCAATATCGTGTCCCTCGGTGCTTCCGCGTCGCAGAATTTAGCCTTGAGCGCCTTCGCCGGCGTCGTCGGCACGCCAACGCCGCACAAGCCTACCGAACACCGCACCCCCATCCCTTCCCATAATAAGCAATGAAAGTACCCCTGACCCTTTGGGAACGGACCTAAGTTGAGAGGCCTGGAAGAGTAGGGATGAATGGTTTTTTTTCCTGCAGATGTATCAAGCCAAACCACCTGTGCTGATTATCCCTAGTGTAAGCACAGGGACCTAAGTTGGGCTACTTCATTGTGCTAGTAGGGTTTGGGATTAGTATATTCTCGATGATTCCATGACGCTGATTTGTCTCTGCCCGCGGACGCGCGACATGGCGGACCTGGCACTCCAACCGAAAGACCCCACCGTGCAGTCCGTCATCGGGAAAGGGGCGCTACGTATAGAAGAGGAGGAGGAGGAGGAGGAGGGCGGATGAGGAGGATGAGCAGGAGAAAAAGGAGGATGAGAAAGGAGGACGAGGACGCACAGCAGCAGCAGAAACTGGAGTGGAAGGAGCGGGAGGAGCAGGAGGACCAGGGAAGGCGGACTGGAAAGGAGGGGCGACAACGATGAAGACGGACTTGGATCCAGAAAAGCGGACCGCGCTGGGGCAAGAGCGCCATGCTGAATGACGGGGGCAAAGCCGCGATCTTAATTGGATCGCCCACGCTGCAGCGGGCGGGATAGCATTGGAAAACACAGAATAAAAATAAGAAAACAACTCGGACACAGCCTGTGAGAAATAACATCGCGGAGCGGGGGGCACGACTCTCACTACGCCTTCGGGCGAGGGAGGAAAGTAGTTTTGCATTGAGCAGTTGTGGAAAGCCGAGCGGCGGATCCGAGAGACAAGAGGCGATGGCCAGGCCGCCTCAGTACGCACAGGCAAATGCCTCTCGCCGCGCGGCGACCCCGCGCGCGCTTGCAGGGGGGGAGCTGGCGCCGTCCTCCTCCTCCTCCTTCTCCTCCTCCTCCTCCTCCTCCTCCTCCTCCTCCTCCTCCTCCCATCATCATCATCATCATCATCATCATCATCAGCAGCAGCAGCAGCAGCATCGTCATCATCATCATCATCATCATCATCATCATCATCATCATCATCATCATCATCATCATCATCATCATCATCATCATCATCATCATCAGCAGCAGCAGCAGCATCCACATCATGAAACAAACAACAACAACAACAACAATCATTTTACCCGAACGCGTGGTGTTCTCCCCAGTGCCAGGGGTTTCATACGACACCAGGCAATACCCCCACTTCGTGGGGGGGCATTACAAGCTCTACCAAATATCCAAACGACTCTTCGCGACCACCCAAACCCAGCTTCCCGCCCTATGAAGTTGGGACACTTCACTTCGTGGCGGACGACCGTGGCTACTACACTGGCGTGGGGTACACACCCACAGAACTTGGTCACTTATTCGGGGCGCGCATGTGCCCAGCTTGGTGCAATTGTGCCATACAATACATAATACAGAGAGACAGAGAGAGAGACAGAGAGCAGACAGAGAGAGAGACAGAGAGAGCGGAGTTGGTCACATTTTTGGGTCAAGTTCCTGGGATGATGGGAATACACAACTCTGTTACATTTGATAGTGTGCACGACACACATGAGTCGAAAAAGTTGTTCGCAAAAGCCCGTTTGACAGAAATGTTTAAAAAGTGTTGGGTTCCCTACGAATCCGCAAGAGCGCGCGGGATGAGATTTTGACATTTTTTTTGTTGAAAAACCATTGGTTTTTTGATGTTTGTATGTTAAAATCGCTCCGAACACTAAGCTTTTGGAAGGATTTCGTCTTGCGCGCGCGAATGTCCACTGTACCTTATTTTTTGCAAGGGATTCTTGAAATTTGATTATATTAGAACAAGAAATGTCATTTTATAGTGTTTTTTGCAAGGGAAAACGGATTACAACAAAACAACCGGATCTTGATGACATCGTATTACCTGAGGCTTCCTCACGAAAATGATGAAAAATGTAGCTGCGGCCTAGGCGGCGCAGGGGGGCCGTGCACCAGGGGTCACAACAATAATTATTCTTTAGAATTAATAATGTTCAA